TAAATGTGTAACTGGAACAGACGAGTGGCATAAAACTCTGTCGATATGTTTCGTGCATGAACTTATAGAGTTAATTAACTTCAAACAACTAATAGACATAAAATTTATTTATATCTTAAAAAATAAATCTATGGAGTTAGTTAAGTTTAAATAATCAACTGAAAACTTTTCAATGTTGGTAATCATTAAAACCTATTCACTCCATTTCAATTTTTACTGGTCTCAATTGGGTGTCCAAATATTTTTATCTAATTTTGTAGAGGGTAGAGAAATACATTTTGTCTGGTGGAAATTTAGTTTTGGGTGGCGAAGTTTTATTTAATGGTAGCTACATTGCTAAAAAGGAAGTGAAACAAGTATATTGGAACAAAGGGAACATTTATTGGGGTAACTATATTTATCAGTATTAATTAGTTTTAATATCTTTCTTGAAAAATTAAATGAAACATAACCTTTTTGTTTTGAAGAAATTTCTCGAAACTAAATTCTTTTCTTAGGACAGGGGTTATGAAGCTCTAACTCCTGCTCTAATAATATGTTTTCTACTTAAAAAATATCGATTGCTTTTTGAAGCTATAATTTGGCTTTTGTTTTAGTTGTCTTTAAATTTGTTATACCTTTACATTTTTTAGGTGAAAAGGTTGGTAGTTGTGGAAACAGAAGAGATGTACAAGGCACGGAAAGAGAAAGAAGCAAACCATCGGGCGTTGCGTCCGCCATTGGTTATACATCATCCAGCCTCATCTGCAACCGGTTCCACTTAGTATCTACCAAATGCCAAGACTATATGTCTTTGTCACCTCATGCTGTTTCATTGGTCAATTAAGTGATTAATTTGTTTTACAATTTATTTTGTTTTATGTGCAGTTCCCTAAGATGATCTTATATTTTGTTTAGATCTTCACAGTTTTGAAGAATGGATTTTCTAGCTTAAATCTTTTGAAATCATCCTGGGCTTTTTTCTATGTAACAAGGCGTTACTATTTCACTGTATTACCATGCTGATTGGCAATGGATAAGAGTCACATTGGGAGTTGGTTTTTGGACTGTCAAGTATGTATGTTTTTTTCATGTATGTGGATATGTATTTGTGATTTTATAAAAAAAAAAAAGGTTAAAGTAATAACATATCTACAGTAAAAAAGTAATGACATAACTACTGATAATACAATGATCTGATCACCTATTTTCATATTTATAAATCTTATTTATCAAGATAGGATTGCTCCTTCAAAGCTTTCCATTCCAAAGTCCAAACCCTCCGTGTGTTTCTTGGTCCAAACCCTCCGAAATATTTTCCGTTTTTTTACTTCTATTTTTTGTTCTCCAATTTTCTATTTTTATTTTTCAGTTTTTCTATCTCCAATTTTTTGTTTCTATTTTTTAGTTTTTCATTTTCAAATCTGAAAACATGTTCATCAATTTTTTCACTCAGTTCTCCAATTCCAATCCCTACCCCTACCCTTCCCACGATCATACACTCTACCCTACTCCCCCACAACCCTTCATACCCACCCATACCTACTCGTAGGTGTCGGGGTAATGGGTAGGGTAAGGGGTATGGTTGGGGTGGGGTGGTAAGGTCTAGGGGTAGGGGGTGGGTGGGGGTGGGGGTGGGGGGTAGTGGGTGGGTTAGGGTTGTGGTTAGGTGTAATGGTGGGGTAGTGGGTAGGGTTGGGGTAAGGTAGGGGTAGGAGTTGGGATAGGATGGCGGTAGGGTGGGGCCGGGACCAGGGTGGGAGTGGGACCGAGGTAGGGAAGGGATAGGGTGGGGGGTAGGATGGCGGTGGGGGTAGAATGGCGGTAAGGGTGGGGGTAGTGGGTATTGTTGGGGTTGGAATAAGGTAGGGGTAGGGTAGGGAGTTGGGATAGGATGGCGGTAGGGTGGACCCAGGATTCAGTTGGGGTCGAGGTAGGGGAAGGGTAGGGTGGGGGGTAGGATGGCGGTAAGGGTGGGGGGTAGTGGGTAGGGTTGGGGTTGGGATAAGGTAGGGGTAGGGTTGGGGTTGGGATAAGGTAGGGGTAGGGTAGGGAGTTGGGATAGGATGGCGGTAGGGTGGGCCCGGGATCCAGGTGGGCCGAGGTAGGGGAAGGGTAGGGTGGGGGGTAGGATGGTGGTGGGGGTAGGACGACGGTACGAGGGTGGGGGGTAGGATGGCGGTGGGGTGGGGCCGAGGTAGGGGGCATGTGGTAAGGGGTAAGGTAGGGGTGGGGGTAGGGTAGGGTGGGGTCGAGGTGGTAGGGGGGTAGCAGTAGGGTAGGGTGGATCGGGGGTGGGGGCATGGGGTAGGGGTCATTATAGGGAAAATGGGTACGTGGGGTGGGGGTTGGGTGGGTAGGGTAGGGGTAAGTGGTAAGGGACGAGGATGGAGGTACCGGAATGGAATCGACATCGGAGCGGGACTGGACCCACCACTAGGTGTAAGTATGCAAATTAATTGCAGCGACACTGTAGCATCTGCGTTTTCCAAATTTGGAAAACTAATAAAAGTCACTTCTCCAAATCATTAAGGAAAAGAGAAATATGTCTCATTTTTTTCGTTTTGGAAAACGATTTGGTAAACACGTTTTTCTTTTTTCCTTTCTCCAGTTTTCCAGCAATTTCTTTGGTAAACACGTTTCCTGTTTTCTGTTTTCCAATTAAAACTGGAAAATATCTCTGTTAGTAAACAGACCCTTATACTCTCTCCGTCCCGTAATTAAGTTCCTACTTTCCTTTTTGGGATGGTCCATATTAAAGTTCTTACTTCAAGCCTTTCCTTATTTGGCAAATGATTTATACCAAAACAGTGTCAAACAGTGTCAAGCAGTGTTCAAACAGTGCCAAACAATGTTCAAACAGTGTTCTCCACAGTAAAGTCAAATTTATTTCTTAATATGTGTGAAGTAGGAACTTAATTAAGAACCAGAGGGAGTACATAACATATTAAGGGCCTATTTGGTAGCAACTGCATTGGCTGGAATGGCTGATTGTGGAATATAATAGATTTATATTAATACTAGTTTTTTTAATGCGCGTTGCGCAAATGCAAAATGCCCAATGTTATTTATATTGTGTAAATTAAACACTTACTCTGTATTTTTTTTATTTAAGAGAGACTGAATCATTATACTGAAAGGAATCTTATTTTTGTTTATTTTTATTATAATTCAAATCAACAAAAAAAGTCACGCAAATGTCATGGAAAGAATTTGATCCAAAAGTAATCATTTTTGGGGAAAAGTACAGAAAAAGTACTTGTGATTGAGCCCGTTTTCATATAGGGTCATGTGTTCCATTCTTTATCAAAGTGGTTCATGTGTTTGAATTCCGTTATCACAAGAGGGTCACGCCATTAAAAACGTCTGAAAAAGACCGTTAAAAATAACTTCGATTTTCAAAAGTGCCCGAAAAATTGAAAGAAAATTACCGGAAGGTGCGCCTCAATAAGATGACCGCTAGGCCATCTTTCTTTTTTGTTTTCAGCCACCCTTGTCACCGGAAAGTCCATCGGGAAAGTGATATTAGCGAAATCATTTTTAAAAAATAATTCAAATAGATCTAAAAAATCCAAAGGCAGAGGTGGTTTGTAGGTCATTTTGACGAGGCGCACCTTTCGGTATTTTTCTTTTAATTTTCGAGCACTTTAGAAAATCGGAGTTACTTTTAACGGTCTTTTTCATACTTTTTAACGGCGTAACCCTCTTGTGATAACGGAATTCAAACACATGAACCACTTTGATAAAAAATGAAACACATGACCCTATCTGAAAACGGGTCCAACCACAAATACATTTTCCTTACTTTTCCCTCATTTTTTGTTATTGATACAATATCCGTTTAAAGATATCCTCTCTCTATATATGTTTCCAGTTGTTGAATAACACCAAGTATAAGTCCATACATGTTCGAGTTATGGAAAGAACCCAAGTATAAGAGCGGTTATCCACACGAAAGTTGGGTTTATTTTATTTACAAATTTAAACACACAATTACGTACATGCTACACAATTAAAACATTTGTCACAAGAAGAAGATATGTCTACATGCATGCATTTCTCGAATAGAAACACCTGACCTACAAGATGGCAAACAAAAAGTGTAAACTTTAAATAAGAAATTTAAGTGAACTTATGTCTGTCAAATTGGTTCACTAGATGATAAGGTATTTTAGTGTGACTTTATTTTTCAGATATAAAAAGAAAAGCAAAAAAAGACAAATATTTGAAGTTTTGACTTGTTAGGCTGTTATATTATGTTACCGACACATTGATAAATGCATCCTTGAGGCAAAATCAAATACGGTGTTACTCCCTAAATTTTTTTATCGTGTAGTATTTTTTTATCTTCTTCATTTTAAGTTCTAACTATGTTAATCTACAAATCTGCTCAATAAAATCAGGCCCCATAAATATAGTTGAGTGTTTTATAATGAAAATGGGACGTTTCTCAATTGAACAAACCAAATAAACACAAACCAGACAAACAACCCTTGAATATTCATCGGAAAATGAAATACTAAGTATGACTTCTCTTAACATATTTTAACATTTCTATATATATATGTTATAAATCTTATAAACAGGGGAATGATGATTAAGGCAATTTGAAATATATAGAAAATCATATATTTACAAATTTTATTGATAATAGCATAAAAGATCTTGAATACTACGTAGTATTTCAAAGAGAGCAATACACGGTTTGGGGTGGGCATTTGAAATGCTCACTTCCTGTGTAATGATTTGTAGAAGGTACAACACTTTAATTCAAAAGAAACAATCCAAAGAAACCCATTTATTTGAAAATTGTAAAACTCATATAGAAAGAAATAATTAATAACAGTCAGATATAAATCAAACCAATGATGACATTTGGAAAGATAATACCATAAGAATATATTAGATGTTTTAAGGTTTTCCCATGAGCACAAAAATGACAGACTAATAAACTATTCACAAGTTGAGGAGAGGTGTATGGGCATGAGAAACAGAAATGCATACTATTCACAAGTTATTAATAGAGTTTCCATCTGAAACCCATTCATCAAACAATATTTGCAGTTCATTCCTAAAAACCAATCATCCATGTAAACCAGACATATTTCTGGTAGTGCAATAATACAATGTACATAAGATGTGTTACACAACTTTGGGCAACCCATTCATCTCACAAAAGTATTTATAATGAATGGATGTAGATTATGAGAAGAATGTACCATAACTCATTAATTTTAAAAAATCAGTACATTCAGTCACTTCAAGACCAAACAACTCTTAATAAGAGGGCTCAAATTATACCGAGGAGATATCATTTCACTGAAGCCAACCAAGCTCAAGTGAAAATAAGTGTATAGGGTAAAGAAGTAATAAAAGATTACAATTATGATTGCTACCAATGGAAAAGAAATACAATAAGATACTTACCGCAGATCCAATTATCTCCATTAATTCAGCAGCAGCACGACGAAGAGGTTCCCTCGAGCTAACCTGCAGATTAGAAATATGAAGTGCTTTCTTTTAATCTCACATGGTGACATATGACACTAAAATGGTAATGGTTAAAGAAAATATGCCACAAAATGAAGCAAATGAGAATCTATGGGCTCATTATCATTTTCTTCTTTCTACTTTTTCAACAACTTAAAGAAAATTCTGAAAATCAGAAAATATGGTTTTGCATTTTCTTGGTGGTTTTCAAAGTAATATCATTAGTGTAAGTGTGATTACATTTTACCTTACTGTAATATATATCTTAAAATAGCAAAGCCAAAATCTGTAAACTGGCAGCCAGATTGAGGGGGGCGGAACTACGGAACACAAGTAAAGCCGCAAGCGGGTGTGTATGAATGAAGAGAGAAATTTTACCTCAAAGGGACCAACAACACATACTTTATAATCCGCATTTGACAAAAGCCTCAGTGTGTTGCAAGCAGCATATAACTGCTCAGTTAATGCAGTTATGAAGGAAACAGTGCCCTCATGCCCATGTATCCTAAAATTCTTAGATATCTCTATATGGTTGTCCAAAGTTCTATGAAGCCCTGTAAAGCGTTTAACTTGTTTTGTTTTTTTAAAGATCAACATGACCACTGAGAATGGAAAAAAATTCCATGTGTAGGAGGAGCATAAGTGACTAAGTGAGTATTATGTCATACCACTATGCCAAACATCTCTTTGTAGGCGCAAACTTCTTTCACATTCCAACATTGCTTTTTGACCTGCCATGGCCATCATATACTCCAGCAAAGGTGGATTCTGGTCCGGCGTCGAATTGATTGCAATAGATTAGCACATCATAAGAAAATAGATCTGCTGTCTGGTGCAACTGCTGGTGTTCCAATATCTATGGGGAGTAGCGGATGATTTGTCATTAACGGTACCTATAGGATAAGATGAAAACAAGAGGGTTAATGAAAAGAGGTACTATGGCATGACCGTAATGTACAACCCCATTAAAACACAGCGTTACACCAACACATTTTTTACGCTTAAAATGTCCTAACCCTCATTGCCTCTTATAGTTGTTTAGAACTTTAGATATGCAAACTTCTTCTTATGTTACATACTTCTATGTGAATCAAAGCTTATCTATTACGGAGTATTTGATGTTGCTGTTGTGGGAAAAAAGTAGTGCATCTCCTTTAAATAAATGGGCACGCTGGTTTAAGCACTCTATTTCCGTTATGCCATTATTTATATTTCTTCCATTTAATTGGTTATCTGTTTGATAACCCAAACTTAGAAGGTTAAATTAAGAAAACCTTTGTTCTGCAAAACTAACTACTTTAGAAAAAATGGGAAAGCTAGAAAACTTCTGAAGATTATACCCAATTTAGTCTTCTTTCTTAAAGAATTAAACATTTACCTTGTTCACCCTAAACATTTTAGGATGCATTTAGAGAAGTCTTAGTTTGTACTTTTTTCGCCTATAATTCATCTGGACAAAAATATTTTTATTACATACAATGTGTACTTGATGCGCAGCCACACACAATGTGTCTTTGTACATAGTCTATCTTATCCAAAATTCAAGAATGGGTCTGCTAGATGCAAAATAGTCATCTATAGCACACAATGCCAACTACCTGCATATCTTGAATCTATGCAAAGCTTACTGGTTTATACATAATGTTTTTAAAGCACAGAATATCATATATAATACTTACAAAACTAATTATTCCTTGAATATGTTATTTCTCTTGAAAAGTATCTAGATACTTTATTGAGTTTGTGAAAAAGATAGTTATAATCAAAGTAATCAGAACAATCTTAAGCTGAAAAAATCTGAACGAACTTAACCTATATTTTTATTTCATTGTTTTTCAGGTAATTAAACATGTAAACCAGGTGACGGCAACACAAAAGTCCTACATAGTGAATATAATCTAAAATTACTCATATCATAAAGTGTTCTCTGAATGCTATTTGTAATGTTTTCATCTTGGTAACACTAATTTTAGGAGACTTCTATATAGTCTGGCTAGTGGCCAATGACTTACATATGGACTGGCTTTTACACTCGGGTATCTACCAGATAGCATTCAGCCATTTAGGGAACTACGGAGTATAATTCACTTTTGTGATGCCATTTCTACTTAGCATGTTCAAAAACTATTTTATTTCGTGATGCCCTTTCTATTTAGCTTGTCCAACAACTACATAATTAGATAAGTTTAATTGAGTCAGATTGGAACTCCCATGGTCTTGAGGAAAATTGATATCGAGAAAAGCAAAAATCTAGTTACAAGCTCAGAACAATTCACCCCATATTGTATATAAGCCATGCTAAAGTCAAAGTAAAACATGGAAAACTCAACTAACTATATAACTAAATGATTGAAATAATATATCAGGTGAAGAAGAAGCTAAACACATGACAAAATACTAAAGAAATTTTGATCTGAAGATGCTTCTCAGCATATGAATTGCATAGTTAGGACCCTTAACTTGATCAAAACATGCATTTCAACTTAATCACCCAAATACTGTTGTGAGGAAGGAGATGAGCATAGCTGAGCGAAAATCGGAGAAACGACATGGAAACAAACCTTGACAGTTGACTGAAGGAGAGGGAAACGACGGGAGCTAGCGCGGTGTGGTTAGGGCGTGGATGAGACCTGCTCTGCGCGAAACCAGGGTTGGGGGTGCTAGAGATTCGAAATCCCCTGGAGCTCTAGCGCCATGGCTCTTTTTTCTTTTTTGAGCAGTGCACCATGGCTCTTGAATTTCTGCTTGGGATGTCTATTTTAATCCCGTGTTCCATTAGAAACTGGGGTTTAGCAAGACGGGAGCTATCGACGGAAATGAGACGGAAAATTAAATTCCTCTAAAAAAGTACACACAACAAACCATAATGTACCACCTAATAAAGCAAGTGATTACACCAACATTATTTTCATCCCTAAAATGCCCAAACCTTCATTGAGGATTATAAGATTTTAAGAAATGAAGTTTTCATTGACATATAGTTTAAGAATAATACTAAATTGATTATTTACTCGATTCAAACTGTTTATTCGATGTATAAAATAAACAACTTCATATACAAATATCAATTAATCCAGAAAATCATTAATCCAGATAGACATTTTGATCCAAAAAAGATTGAATAGAAAAAAATGTAATGAGGGAGGGATCCAGAGCCTCTGTCTTACTTTAGAGCAAGGTAAAGTGTCTTGCTTCCGGACAGCCATTCGATTACAAATTTAACGGCAATAGATCTTGGGGGCCAAGGATCTTGGGGTCCACACTCTCGAATCCGTCTTTGTCGCTGCCCAATCGTCCGATGCGTAAGGCACCCTCCTAGTCGGGAAGAGGATCCAATCTATCAAGGGAGGTCCGTATTTTAGACCATTTGATTTTTTTTGGGCTTATCAACTTTGGACCCATTTCCAATAGTTGAAAAGGCCCTATATAAATAAATAAGATTGAGCATACACGAACTTTGAACCCTATTTCTTCCGCAGCTCGCCGTTCGTCCATACCACTCTGTAGCTCAAATCTAGCGATAATGGTTGGATGATCATGTAATTGTCAATCTATGAAAAAGGAATTTCATATTTATTCCCCTTTTTCTTCGTTTGCAGACTTTCAAGCGGAGGAATGGAGGTCGCAATAAGCATGGCCGCGGCCACGTCAAGTTCGTCCGCTGCTCCAACTGCGGAAAGTGCTGCCCCAAGGTTTCAACCCTGTAAACTTTATGAAATGTCTTAGCTCACGCTGAATTATTTTTTTTTTCTCCGTGTGCGTAACTTCAGGCTTATAGATTTCTCATCTGCATCTATCTAGCTGTTAGTTGAGTAACTGTTAATCATTACCCGATGTTTACACGTGATTCCAATGTTTTATGGATCTAAGGTGAATTAGTTTTAGTTCTTTCTACCTCAGGGAATTCAATAGCGTTCTATTACAGTGTAGCCGAGCGGGTTGGCACTTGAGCACTCGATCTCTACAAGAGCCTCTGTAGCGGAGTGTTCGAAAGTAGCAGGAATGGCTGCCTCTATTGTGAGGGCTATAGTAGTAGTAGCTGCTGATATAGCAGCGCTATAGAATTTCTTAGTTGTAGGCTCTCGGATTAGAGATTTTTTGGGGTAATTTTGGTTTTTACAGGACCGAAGTACACTTTTGAGAACAAAAAGTAACCCCACTAATACCTTTTGAAGTACCAAAACCCATCCCAGCCTTCAAAATTGTTGTTCTTAGTCGTCTTTTTCTATTCCTCAACAAAGCAAGAGACCTTGCATCTTCAATTACTTTTGACAACTACTGTTCTTATTCTATTTTCGACTCTTCTGAGTCATCTACCACTACTCTAGGGGATTGTTTAGTATGGAACCTAGTACTTGTTGAAGGCCACAGGACATAACCTTCATCAAGTTTGAAAGTGAAATAGTTAGTAAGATTTTAATTTGAATGTCATGAAGTATCAAATTACGAGTAATATGTGACATTTTATGGATATGATGTGTAATGTATGTATTATTCTCATGCATGAAATCTTGTATTGCACATAAAAGTTATCCACATAGCGGTCATCCTGCAATCTGTTTTACCGTTATAGTGATTTCAGGGTGGGCAGATCTTTTCGCCTTCTGGGATTGACTGTATACTACCTTGTTACATACGTAGTATTTATTAGTGGGCTGGGAAAGGGATTTATTAATTTTGGAAAGTTCTAAGGTGCCTCCAATTAGAATATATAAATGATTAAATAATGACATGGTTCAATCATATGCATTGTGGGTACTGTAGCATTCACCTTACTTATTACGGAGTAGCAAGTTTCATTGAAGATCATTATCACTTTTGATGGTGGTTAACTTTACTGGCTTTGCTACAGGACAAAGCCATCAAGAGGTTTCAAGTAAGAAACATTGTTGAGCAAGCGGCTGTAAGGGATGTCCAAGAGGCTTGTGCCTTTGAATGTATGTCAATCAACAGAATAATTTAGCGTGTTCTGTTACTGGGTGGAATTTCTAGTATTTTGATTAACATTTTCTTTTTCCACTACCCAGCATACACCCTTCCAAAGCTCTATTTGAAGGTGCAATACTGTGTTTCATGTGCAATTCACTCCAAGGTTGTCAGAGTTCGCTCCCGTACTGACCGAAGAAACCGAGAACCTCCACAGCGTCCTTTCAGACGCCCAATGGTACGTTTTTTCCCATATTCTCTTAGCTTTATTTTGTTATTATTATTGATAGTAGCATCTGTAATACATAGTAGTAAACTTCTGCGTTGATGCACTAATGCTGCTGGCTCACCCAATTTTATCGTGTCATTTTCATTCAACTATTTTGGCTGTCTGACATTCTTCGATGGCTGCCATATAAAATGACATGCCTACAACAAGCTTGCATTTTCTTTGATGCCAAATATTAATTTTAGTTTCAAATCAGAGGTGAATTGATGTTTGTTTGCTTAACTTCACTGAATAATCACTTGTACCACATTCTGAATTTCTGTACTTCACTGTTACCTCTCATCAGTGATACCACATTCCGCTTTAAATTTTCAAAGGTCACTGTCACTATAAACTATGTAGTTATTATTATAAAACACATTGCCTAATCCCAAGGTTTAAAATGTCTAATTTGGGTGTCAAGGCAGATTGTTTTGAGATGCAAATTGTTAGAATTCTGTCGCATCGAGCTTTAAGCCTCAACATGCATCAACAAACAAAATTTAATAGTTTTATTACCAAGTACTAGCTAAGGTTATTACTAAACTGTTGATGCATAATGTTATGGCATTAACACACTGTGGTCCCTTGAGCACTATTCATCTTGTTTGAGCATTCTAATGTTCGAGTTCCTAAAATAATAACATCAAACAGATCAAAGTCATCCATAATTGTATTTGGTTGGTTGTAAGATTTGATTACTCGTTATGTTTAGTTGTACATTAGTATTTTAAGAAGTGCATCTGAACTAAATTTTATACTCTATGGACCTTGTTACTTGCTGTGATGAAACCCAAAAGAATAAAATGTTAAAATCTTGCCTCCTCCAATGTGATGAAGCCCAAAAGAGAAAATGATAAAATCTGGACCTCCTGCATGCTTGAGCCAGCCCCTTGTCATTTATAAATGGTGTGATCATTCTAAGCAGCTTTGATACTTTTGGCATTTCTTTTTTTGGTTATCCCAATACCTTTCTCACTTTCTTTCAAGTCATTAAATTAAGTTGTGGTTAATGTAAGTTCTCTTCCCTCTATAAAAACTCTTTAACCACCAAGTTTTACTTTATTATTCCATCTTCCAGTCAAATATGGTAAAATTATTTGGGACAGAGGGAGTATTTATGTTTAGACTTGGAAAATATGTAACACACTTGCCTAAATTGCCCATGAGGTTGGGCAACCTTTTGATCAATTTAAGTAATATAAGTCAGAAAATACAACGTTACATTGAGTCATACTCGCAATATTTACTCCTTCCGTATCAAAATGACAGTCCCAGATTTGTTTTCGAGTTGTATCAAAGTAAAATTATCTCATTTTCTTTTTAGAAATAACTCTACCCTAAAAGCTGCTACAGTACACTTTCATAGAGAACCAAAAACCTCTTAGTTTTTGTAAATAATTATCTTGATACAGAGGAAGTATATATTTCTCTTTATCGTCCATTCATTTCCCATTTAAAACAGGACTTGATTTTAGTTGAAACCATTCTATATTGGGTGTGCAACTTATTTTACCCTCAGTTGCCTTGTTTATTTTAGATTTTTAGACTCTTTTTTAGAAGTCTATCTTGTTCTTATCAATTGCGTTTCAGGACAATGCTCCCAAGCCTGGTCAGCCACAACGCGTTCCGGGAGCTCCTCCAACTGCTGCCCGTACATAGAAGTGACCAGATATCTTGTTTTTTCTCCATTCTGATTTAAAGTTGCTTCATTTTGTTATGATGATGTGTGACCTTGAATATTTTGGTTAAGTTGGAAAATCATGACAGTATTATTACTGAGAATTGCGGGATAAACAACAATTTCTGCTTTGATTATGCATGTTTATCAACTTCTCTGCTGCTGTCCTAATTTCCAAATGCCCCCTTTGCAACACTCATGGTGTGGAACTGTCGGTCGCATGCCCCTATCCATAAATATAAGACCTCTTAATGGGTTTAATGGTTTTAATATCGGCCATTCACAGAAAAAAAAGATGCTTACTGATGTGTGTAAGATGATGTGTACAAAAAGCGTGTCTAAATAGTTTTCTTATTCTTTTTTTGGTGTGGGAGGTGGGACAAATAATATGAGGAAACGGTAGCAAAATATAACTAGAAATAAATGTTGCACACTTGCACGTATGTGTAAGTGTATAACATCATAGGCTCTGTTACATGAAGAAAAATGTTATTCCCTGCCTAGTACTGTAGTACTTGATGTTTGTTACCCTGTACAAAGTCCCTATTAAACACGGTAAAACATAATGTTTGTTACCCTGTACTAGGGGTGGACCGGTTCCGGTTCGGGCCCGGTTCGGGCCTGGGCCCGGCCGGGCCTCGGTTCAGAAAAAGGAGGCCCGGGCCCGAACCGGTGGTGGGCGGTTCCGGTTCCGGTTCCGGGCCAGAACCGGGCCGGGCCGGGCCACCCGGAATGTTTTTTTTTTTTTTCTTCTTCTTCTCTTATTTAACCCCCTACCCCTCCCCCTCCACCCCAAACCACCCCAAACCACCTCAAATGGCCCAAAATACCTAATCCAACCCAAAACTTAAAAAAATTTCAAAAAAAAAAAAAAATTAAATTCCGGCCCGAACCGGGCCCGGCCCGGCCGGGCCGGTTCACTAAACTGGAGGCCCGGGCCCGGACCGGTATACCACCGGGCCTGGAGGCCCGAACCGGAACCGAACCGGTTGACCGGGCCGGTCCGGGCCCGCACAGTAGCGGGCCGGTCCGGTTCCGGGCCGGTTGGCCCGGCCCGAGTCCATCCCTACCCTGTACAAAGTCCCTATTAAACACGGTAAAACATACTCCCTCTTTCGCATTAGATTTTGCCAATTTTCCTTATTTTGTTGTCTCAAAAAACGTTGTCACTTTCTTATTAAAGCAACTAATTTGTGTTTTTGTGCATTTCTCTCTTTTCTACACAAATTTCGTTTTTACTATTTTTATTTCTCACCTATTTTGCACTTGGCAAAGTAGTAGACATGTTTGGACGGTGGTAGTAGATATGTAGCAAATGCTTTAGCAAATGCTTTGTTTGGTGGAGCAGTACTTCGATTAGTTTATGTAATCTACGTGGAAACCTAAATGTTGAGTTCAAGTACTACGCAAGTGAAATAGTGAATACAATTGTTTGGGTTTAGAAGCTTGGGCCGATTTTTGAAAGTAGACAAAGCCTTGGAGCTTGTTTAATAATATTCAAATCAGTTTTATTGGTTGATTCTGTTGAAGTTTATTGAAATTTATGAAATTTTGATTGAAGTGTCTAGGTTGATTGATTCTGAAAAATTATATTTAAAGTATATTTTTTTATTTAAATTAAAAAATTATATGAAAATGAGCTAAAATTGTTTTCAACAGTGACTTTAGTCAATACAATCAGAAAAATAACTATATTTTTTTTCTTCTTTTCTTAATTTACACAATTCTGTGTGCGGAATAAAAAATTACGTGTTTGGACTTTAATGAAAAAATTGATTGATAAGTTTGATAAGTCAAAAAAACATGGTTATCAAAAGAGACTTAGACATTCAATATGAATTAGCCCTCTTGATTTAATTACAAGAGGAGTCTAGGATTTTGTTCAAAAGAGACTCCTCTTGTAATTAACCATATTGAATTAGCCCTCTTGATTTAATTACAAGAGGAGTCTAGGATTTAGTCTCGGATTAGACTAAATTAATCAAAAGAGACTTAGACATTCAATATGAATTAGTCAAAAAAACATGGTTATCAAAATTGCCAAGGCCGTGTAATTAATTTAGTCTAATTGATTTAATTACAAGAGGAGTTTAATTTAGTCCATCCATGTCTGGATTTTGTTTAATTATCAACCCTCAATTTTAATTTTAGAAGATGTATAAATATTTATATAAACATAAACTTCTAAATTAAACTCTTGATATCTTAAATGTTCCTCACATCATAATTAATTTCGGGTAAGTTTCGTCTACCCCTTGTAATTTTTGATATGAATAAAATTTTGTTAAGTGTTCCCTTGCTTTTACCTCACTGATTTTGGTGGTTTGCCTACTGGGATTAAAAAATAAAATAAAAATAAAATTTCAAATAAAAACATTTTTAATATGTAAAAATAATTATGAAATTCAACACATATAGCGAGGTTAAAAACAATGATTTTAGTCATTTTTAATTTTATCTACAATAAAATTTCGTTTTTCTTTCCAAAACTTTTTTCGAGTTGTGTTACCAATTTATGATATTGTATTATTTATCTTTATCCAAAATTACATTTTTTTGTTATACATAACTATACAGGGGTTTAGAATTTATGGATATAGGGCTTTTCCAACTTTTTAACATAAAAGTGTATTATTCAATTCTATTATGCTATCTTAATTCTAAAATCTAGATTTTACATTTTTTCCATTTTATATATTTTTTTTTATTTTCTTTAATTTAATTACGTAAAAGTCAAACAGTTGCAATTATTAAACAACGGAGGATAAAATTATGATATTCTATTAGTTACGTAGTACATAATAGGGAAAACTATCAAATAAGCCCCCATACTATATCAAAAAAGTCGATTAGGCCCTCGTACTTTACAAACACTCAATTAAGTCCTCGAACTATTAAAAAATGTTCAACTAAGCCCTTTTGGTCGGTAAGTAACCGGTTTCCCGGTTAAATGTAACCCGTTTCCCGGCAGCCGCCGTTGCTAGGGTTCGAGCACATCGTCGCCGTTTAACCGGGAAACCGGTTACTTACCGATCAAAAGGGCTTAATTGAACGTTTGTTAATAGTTGGGGACTTAATTGAGTGTTTGTAAAGTACGAAGGCCTAATCGACTTTTTCGGCATAGTACAAGGGCTTATTTGACAGTTTTCCCTACATAATAAGTATGAAGTACTTTATAGTTTAAATTTTAAGATTTAAGGTAAGGTGTTAAAGTTTTTTTTTTAAATGAAAATACGTTAAGATTGTAATTTTAATTGATATAATAAAAGTATATAATGTAGAAGAAACTTAAATAATTTGAGAAAAACGTGAAAATGTATGAATAAATGATAAAATGGAGAAAAGTAAGGAAAATTATGCATATATAAATTAAATATTTATCATAATTGGAATGTGGTGATGTAATAAAACATTTCTAAAAAAATATGCTCCCTCCATCCCACAAAATTTGATCAGTTTGAATTTTTAACTTTTCTTGATCAATGATTGTCAAGTTTGACCAATGATATCTTTTGACACGAAGTTATTTAAAATATAAAAATCTTAGGGAAAATGGAAACTAATAATCCAACCTTATAACGGTCTTCTTATAATAATCCAACCTTTTGGTTATTCATGAATAATCCAACCTTTGCACCTCATCTTCATTCACTGGTCCCTGACCGGTTGATGACCTGCTATTCCAAGCTATTTTCTTATCTTTGCAAATCATTATACCATAAATCTCATCTTTCACAAAGATAATATTTTGCAAAGATAAGAAAATAACTTGGAATCGTAGGTCATTAACTGATCAGGGACCAATGAATGAAGATGAGGTGCAAAGGTTGGATTATTCATGAATAATCAAAAGGTGGGATTATTGAAAGAAGACCGCTAAAAGGTTGGATTATTAATTTCCATTTTCCCTATGGAAATTTTTCTTTTAAAAAAATACTTTCGTAAATTAAAGTGCTAGTATATATTTTTAAAATTTCGTACACATATAATAACAAAAATCATTATCCAAAGTTTATTACCATATAAATATACTACGTATTATTCATAAAAAATGTAAAATTGATCAAGTTATCTTGCACAAAGTGAGCATGGGACAAGTTAATAAGTAAGGATGCAAATTATGACTTGTTATACCGTGGTACCGGCCCACTATGAGCACCATACTCCCAGGGTAAAATCCGCATGAACAGTGACGCGGGTGAACAATGTTTTTTTCTTTGTGTGTTTCAGTAACAGGCTGGTGTAACTCACGTTTAACAAAATGTAACTCATATTGATAGGAAATGTAACTTGAGTCAAGTTGGAATGTAAGTTGTCTAAAACGAAATATAAGGAAAAAAACATTGATTTCAATGTAAACAATGAAAAATGATCCTAATTGCTCAATTACTTTTTGCAAATAGTGATTATATTTTATTTTTAATATTAGGGCTATAAAAAATGATATAGTTAAACAATCTTTTTTTTTAATCATTAGTAGGGGTTTATTTAGTGGTGTAACTCGCGTACATTAAGATGTAATTCGCGTATATTAAAATGTAAATCTAGAAAAGTTGAAATGTAAAATATCTTTTATATATATGTATATATGTATATATGTTATAACCATTGATTTCAATGTAAAAAAATGATCTTAATTGCCCAATTACTTTTTATAAATAGTGAATATGTTTTTTTTTTATATTAGGGCTATACAAAATGATGTAGTTAAAAAAATCAATTTTTGGTCATTAGCATGAGTTTATTTCGTGGTGTAACTCGCGTACATTGAGATGTAAATAATGTAACTCATGCATAAACATGTGTAACTCGCACATAAGAACATGTAACTTTATATTATAATATCAAATGTAAACAATGAAAATAAGAAGTTGTTTTTACTAACTTACGTAAATAGTTAATATGTTTTGTTTTTAATACTAAAGTCATAAATATGTTTTAAGGGGAAATCATGGGAGCAGCCCACTAAGCTATTAAAAAAGTATTAAAAGAAAAAAACAACGAAAGTAGCAAACAGTAAAAAACGAAAATTGTACATTCGCGTTTTTTAAGCAATTCGAGTTTTCTTAATCAGTGTTTTTAAATTAAAAAAACAAACATTTGGAAATATCTATTCTATTTATATTATTATTTATTATATATAAGAAAAGAATAGGCTGTGTTAAATACAATTATACCCTTCTTTCCAACGTGTCCTGCTTAGCTGAATTCACGCCTCTTCTCCTATTAATCCACGTGTCTTCTCTTCTCTTCTTTTTTTTCGCAGAGAAAAAGCCAGTGATTTTCAACTCTTCCCCTACGTCTTAATTAAGCCGACAAAGTAGAAGGCAAATCCTAAGCGTTTTCTTCTCCAAATAATGCTCAACAGATAGGCTGATATACCGCTACAGCTTGCCATGTACAACAGGTTTCTCATCTACTTGCTCTCCATCCTCTTTCAACCATTCAATCATCTTTCTACCCGTTTTCATTCAATTTGCAGGTGTAAATTATGCTTTCTTAACAGTTCATCCATGCTTCTGTTGTATTCTTCTAGACAAGATAATTTGAGAGGTCTTGAGTTGTAAAAGGTATCGTGCCATCTTAGTTTTGATACACACTTTATTGCAGGATTCATTTTTTCAGAATTAGTATTTGTTGATGTATCTATTTCTCTGTTTTCACATGACTTTTAGATGCACCAAAGCATACAAGGTAAAGCATATGAGGTGTTTGATGAAATGTTTATGTGAGAAAAGCATATAAGTTTTATAGTTCAGCCTATCACTTTTTTTTTAGATTAGATGATAATGTGTTCTATAAATGCCTAACGTGCTTGGAATGTTTGTGTGTTGCTTTGAATGATTGATATTCAATACTTGCTTGGTACCTGAGCATTAATACCCTTAGCTTACATGGCTTAAAACAGGGGAGTGTTTGAAGTTTTCTGATTCTAAATGTTGGTGTAGAAAATTCTTAAGAATGGGATCCAGAAATTGCGTTTGTCTTGACACATTAGATTGGAATGGGACAAGAAAGAATGAGGGAACAGAAATGTATAGGAGAAGGCAAAGCTTAGGACACATGGGAGAGAAGAGTTTAAATGTAATTTAATGAGCCCTTCACTTTCTTATTGTGAAAGAATTATTGTATATAAGAATATGCTTTAGGAATATACTCTAGACATTATTATAGTAAGAATATGCTTTAGGAATATACTCTAGACATTATTATAGTATAGCATCTTATGTAGGAATATTCCTTCTTTGTAACCTATATATAGGGTCTTAACCCTCTTATATTATACACAGAAAATTCTTCCACTCTCATTACTATTATATGCTTAATTCTGATAACATGGTATCAGAGCCTTAGGAAAGATTTAGTTCCTTTTTTCTTTTAGATTTCAGCTTAGTTTTTCAGACTGGGTTCCTTCTCAAAGAAACCTGATTTCAGTTCAGACTCTCCAGAACCTCTAGGCACCATTCTGTCTCCCAGAAACTCACTCCAGGACAGATTTTTTTTAGCCCCCCTCTATTCAGAACCTTTGTGCAGACCATATACCCCATCTGTGCCAGGTGCTCGCAGTCTGCAGTTCCAAATCAGCACCCAAGTCAGACGCGCCGTTCTCTGGGGTCTGGTGGTTTGTCGCTCGCGTCGCACATCTGTGGAAATATCGCTGGTCGCTGGGGTCTGCCAGTGGATATCTGTCGACGACATACGCGCGATATTCATGTGGCTGATTATTCACTGGGGTCTGGCATCTAACTTCTGTCTGGAGTAGCAGTCAAAGCCCGAACATATCTTTTGTTCTCCAGCCCAAAACGGGCTGCTGTAAGTTTTCATTAAATTAAATATCTCAATTTTCAATTTTATTACAGTTTCAGGAAAAAAAAAATGTCTGGTTCTGACACCTCCACTGTAACACAAAGTCAGCCTTTGATAGTTTCTGAAGTTATTCCCATTAATTTTAAAATTACTGAGAATAAACTTTGTGGCTCTAATTATCTTGAATGGAGTAAAACTATCAAACGCTATTTAAGGAGCATTGATAAACATACTCACTTAGTTGATGACCCGCCAAAGGAGGAGGTTGATAGAGTTGCTAATACTGCCTGGCTTCGTGACGATTCTAGATTATTTATCCAAATTCAAAACTCAATGGAGAATGAGGTAATGGGGTATGTTAGTCATTGCGATACTGTGAAAGAATTGTTTGATTATTTGGAATTTATGTACTCTGGAAAAGGTAATCTTAACGACATCTATGAGGTGTGCAAAGCCTTTTACAGAGCGGAAATGAAAGATAAGCCTCTCACGGCTTATTTTATGGATTTCAAGAAAACCTATGAAGAGCTGAATACATTAATGCCATTTAGTCCTGATATCAAAGTGCAGCAAAAACAAAGAGAACAAATGGCAGTGATGAGTTTTTTGGCTGGTCTAACATCTGAATTTGAAACAGCCAAATCACATATCTTATCTAGTGATGAGGTCTCTTCTCTTCAAGAATCTTTCACTAGAGTGCTTCGCACCGATACTTCATCCACGCCAGTAGCACCTCAGTCAAACAGTGCATTTGTAGGGCAAGTTCCAACGCTTACCCAAGGAGGTGAGAAATGGCCACGTACTGGTCCATCTGGCAAAGGCATAGTATGCAACTACTGTAAGAAGCATGGACACTTGATCAAAGATTGTAGAAAATTAAAATTCAAAAATCAAGGAAATCAAGTTGCTCACATTGCTTCCGCTACAAAGTCTTCTGATGGATCAATCAATATGTCTTCTGAGGAATACGCCAAATTTCTTTGCTACCAAGAGACTCTAAAGCATTCATCTACTCCTATCTCAGCTGTCGCTAATTCAGGTAATCCAAACACATGTCTTGTTTCTTCATCCTCAAAATGGGTCATCGACTCAGGAGCAACCGATCATATGATAGGTAATCCTAACCTTTTTTCTTCATTCCACACACCTCTTCATACTTCTACTGTCACTTTAGCTGATAGGTCTACCTCCCCAGTCTTAGGATCGGGAACAATTGTCCCAACATCCACCTTACCTTTGTCACCTGTCCTAAGTCTTCCAAACTTTGCTTTTAATTTGATTTCGATCAGTAAAATCACGCGTAAACTAAACTGTTCTGTAACCTTTTTTCCTGGATATTGTGTATTTCAGGATCTGTTGACGAATCAGATTATTGGTAAAGGATATGAGTCGGCTGGTCTCTATCTTTTGGACACATCCTTACCTAAAACCATCTCCTGTCTTGGGGTTGGATCTGTGTTAGAGGCTCACTATCGACTAGGACATCCATCTCTCCCTTTGTTGAAGAAAATTCATCCTCAATTTAATAAGGTGTCGTCTTTACAGTGTGATTCGTGTCAATTTGCAAAACATCATCGTACTAGTTTAAGTCCTCGAGTCAATAAACGAGCACATGCTCCTTTTGAACTTGTTCATTCTGATGTTTGGGGTGCTTGCCCCGTTGTGTCTAAAATTGGCTTTAAATATTTTGTTACCTTTGTTGATGATTATTCTCGTATGACTTGGATTTACTTTATGAAACGGCGTTCTGAGTTGTTTTCTCATTTTTGTGCCTTTTGTGCTGAAATAAAAACTCAATTTAATGTTCCTGTTCGTGTTTTAAGAGGAGACAATGCTCAAGAGTATTTGTCTGCCTCGTTTAAGTTGTATATGGCTCAACATGGTATAATTCATCAAACTTCATGTGTAGACACGCCTCCTCAAAATGGTGTGGCTGAACGAAAGAACAGACATCTTTTAGAAACTGCGCGTGCGCTTCTTTTCCAAATGAATGTGCCTAAACATTTTTGGGCGGATGCTGTGTCTCCCGCATGTTTTTTGATCAATCGAATGCCATCTACTGTTTTGGACGGTAAAACTCCGTATCAGTGCCTATTTCCAAATAATGAACTTTTTCCTATACCGCCTAAAATATTTGGTTGCACTTGTTTTGTTCGCGATGTTAATCCTCATTTAACAAAGTTAGATCCCAAGTCATTAAAGTGCATTTTCTTAGGTTATTCTCGAGTTCAAAAGGGGTACAGATGTTTTTGTCCAAGTACAGGTCGATATATTGTTTCGATTGATGTCTCATTTTATGAGAATACACCTTATTCATCCCCAGAGGCAGATATTTGTAGGGAGAATGATGATATACTCATTTACACAGTCACCATACCTGAGTCCACTGCTTCGGAAATTACTCCACATCCTACTGTTCCCGACCCCAGGCCTCCAATACAATTGGTATACACCCGTCGACACAAAGCACTAGATCTTCCCCCGCCTGTGATTCCTTATCCTGATATTGATCCGATCTCGACCTCATGTCCTGAACCAATAACTGCATCTCCAGATCCTGTCTGTACATTAGATCTTGACCTCCCGATAGCACTGCGCAAAGGTACACGATCTTGTACTCATCCTATTTCTTCTTTTGTGTCGTACAGTCAGTTATCATCTACCTCATGCTCTTTTATTGCCTCCATTGATTCTATTTCTATTCCCAAATCTGTTAAAGAAGCTTTGGCTCATCCGGAATGGCGTCTTGCCATGATAGAAGAAATGAATGCTTTGGATCTTAATGGTACATGGGATTTGGTAGACTTGCCTACAGGGAAGAAATCTATTGGATGTAAGTGGGTCTTTGCTGTGAAGGTCAATCCAGATGGATCTATTGCTCGGTTGAAAGCTCGATTAGTTGCGAAGGGTTATGCTCAAACCTACGGTGTAGATTATTCTGACACTTTTTCTCCTGTCGCTAAATTAACATCTGTCAGGTTACTTATTTCACTCGCAGCAACTCATGGTTGGCACTTGCATCAGTTAGACATTAAAAATGCATTCTTGCATGGTGACCTTCAGGATCGAGGAAGTTTATATCGAGCAACCTCCAGGGTTTGTTGCTCAGGGGGAGTATGGGAAAGTTTGTCGACTTCGCAAGTCTCTTTATGGTTTGAAACAAAGTCCGCGTGCATGGTTTGGGAAATTCAGTCAATCAATTGAACAGTTTGACAAACGCAAGCAGGTATCACATTGCTTGTGGTGTATGTTGATGATATTGTGATTACAGGGAGTGATAATGCAGGTATCTTGGCCCTAAAGAATTTTCTGCACAGCCAATTCCAGACGAAAGATCTTGGCTCATTGAAATATTTTTTGGGAATTGAGGTAACACGAAGTAAGAAAGGCATATTTCTATCTCAACGAAAATATGTACTTGACTTACTAGCTGAGACCGGGAAATTAGGGGCAAAACCAAGTACAACACCCATGATTCCCAACGTTCAACTCACTCAAGAAGGCACACCGTTTGAAGACCCAGAAAGATATAGAAGACTGGTTGGAAAGCTTAATTATCTCGCAGTCACTCGCCCAGATATTGCGTATTCTGTGAGTGTAGTGAGTCAATACATGTCATCCCCAACCATTGATCATTGGGCTGCTGTAGAACACATATTATGTTACTTAAAGGGTGCACCAGGACGAGGTATTGTTTATCAAAACCATGATCACATGAGAATAGAGTGTTTTGCAGATGCTGATTGGGCCGGTTCTAAAGATGATCGAAGATCTACATCTGGTTATTGCGTCTTTGTTGGTGGTAATCTTGTATCTTGGAAGAGTAAGAAACAGAATGTGGTTTCTCGTTCGAGTGCTGAATCAGAATATCGAGCTATGGCACAATCTGCATGTGAGATCATATGGATAAGCCATTTATTGACTGAGCTCGGATTGAAGACATCAATGCCTGCTAAATTGTGGTGTGATAACCAAGCTGCTATACACATAGCAAACAATCCCGTATTTCACGAGAGAACAAAGCATGTGTCCTTCATTTTTCTACCCTCGAAAATCCATGTATCAAATTACGGAGTACAAAAGAAAAAACTTACCCATGTCATTCATTTTTCTACCCTCGAAAATCCATGTGTCCTTCTCTCACGTGTTTCTTCCGACGTGTCAAACCGGCCATACTTTTTGCTCCTCCGAAGCATTTTTCACTTCACTGCTAGACTAGAAAATAATCTCAATCCATTTCCAGCCTCGCTCCATTACTCTCTTCCATCTTTGTTAGGGACCTGGACACTACCAATAATTTGAGTCTATTAAGTATTTTAGTAGACTTCAATAATAGGGTTCTAGGCCCAATAACTTAAGTGAGGCCCGGCCCCTTTAGGAGAGTATTATTATAAAAGGGGGGTATGGGGGAGAATAATGCAGGCAGAACTTTGGGATCGAGACTGGGAATTTGGGAGTGTGAGACCACTCGAAAAGTCTCGACCTTTTCTTACGTTTTCCTTCATTAAACCTTCATAAATATACTTCGATTATATTTTGTGATTGTTCGGCTACCTATCAATCTTCAAATTCAATAACCCAGGAGCCAGAAGGTTTATGATTGTTATAGAATTAAAATCCAGATCAATCTGCTCTCCCTATTTCAACACACATCGGCCTAAATATTCATGTGGGTATTTGCCCGAGACTCCGAGTTCCATACGATCTTCATACTTTAGAGAGGTAATCTCCAAGTTCATGTTTTAGCTTTTTATAGCCCTTTTCTTCTTAAAACTTCATATAGTTAACCAATAACCATCAATAGGCATTGAGTTCTACTTCTACATCTACATTGTAGATTTTTAGGGTAATATATCTTTTGTATTTATCAAAGATACTGAAATTTCGTGGACTAAGATAGGGTCATGTACTCTACTAAGTAAGTAAGTATATTTGGCACACATATTCCATGAAATGCTTAGTTCGTCTTTCGTAACAAAGAAACATAACTTTTTTAGGTAAAACAATCGAAATAGTCATTCACAATTTCAAAAGGAACATAACTTTAATAGTAGATAGAAAATTTAGTTTTTCTTCTTCTTCAATACTATGTTCTTATATATAATGTTCAAATAAATGTTTAGATAATCTTAGAAAAACAGAATTACTTTTATAATTAAATTTACAAAATTACAAAATAGTTAAATGGTTTAATGTGTATCATCATAAATTATATGTTCTTCTTAAGTTATAAGTTAGATTTTGGAGTTAATTGGCACTATTTTATTAACCAAAAGGGGTAATTTCTACATCTACCAAGTCTCTTACTGCTCCAATTAATATCTCTAAGTTCATGAATTATTCTAAAAAAATCGAACTTTTTACCTTTATGAACTAAACTTTAGGATTAAGTTTTAATAGGCTTTTGGATTGGATTGAAGAATTATTTATTTTCTGTTTCTTTCTAACTAAACTAACCTTTATCATACCTAAGCTATTTTTATGCCCATTTAAGAAAGGTTTTCATTGCATTAATGGCTGAACTTTTAAAACATTTAGATTTAGAGGGTAATTGTAAATTTTATTTTTTAAATGGTTTATGTTGAATTCTAATGTCTAATCTAGCCGCCAATTACATGTCTTTGAGATTTCTAGGATGGGCTCACCGCTCTTTTGATCCCTTAACTCCTCATATATTTGGTATGTAAATGGAACTGTTTTTTTAAGGAGTAAATGGGACTCCTTTAGTCACTGAACATATCCCTCATTATCTTATCCTAAGTATGTTTATCGCCATTGACTTAATAAGATGGACCTTTGCACCATTTTCAGACTTGCTCTAGCATAGATCAAATAGACAATTCTAATAGAAGCTGGGTATGAAATAGATGTAACATCAATATATAATTGACTTCACATCTTTGTTTTGCTAAAAAGTTAAAGAAACAAAAATAGTGAAATGGTCTTCATCTTTCATTCTCAGTGTGTCATAAAGATAATCAAATTTTGAAATAACAAGGTTGTATGTCAATCTGATTTGTGCAATGAAGGGGTCTCTTTTTTTTATTACAGGAGTCTCTTTTTAATTGCAGGGGCCTTTTTTAATTCCAGGAGCCTTTTTTAATTGTAGGAGCCTTATAGACACCTATTACTAAATAATGTCCGTTTCCTCCAAATTAAAATCAATAGCTACTTAATTGTGTTGATTAGAACTTTAGAACTCAAACAAAGCATTAAAAGAAGAGGATGAGTTCTCATTTCATCATCAGAGTTTTGCTTTCATTTAGCTTCTTAAAGAGCAAATATGTGTTGTCCATCCACCAAAATGGCAGGATTTTACAGATATTAGTTTCTTTACACGAGGGATGCAAGTTGTGACATGTTGGCATATAAGTATATAACCATTCGTATTTTGTGTTCTGTATACCTACTGAAAACCCAATTCATTGATTAAATTAATTCCGGTAAGTATTTGGCCTAGCCACATGCATGTAAATGTAAACTATTAAATATGAACCCTTAAACTATCATGATTGAATGAAAATATCAAATTCCATTAGGTGAGATTGAGTAGAAGAATAATTCCTTAGGTACATGAAACTTAATGATTCAACTAAAACATGAGTACTTAATTTACTAAATCTTTACTAATTATGAAGTAGTTTATTGTTTATAGTTAATTTATGTCTGATGCAAATACTCATAAAAGTTCCTTTTTCCCCTCCTTTACTTGGCCTTTTTGTAGATATTAGCAAGGGTAAATCCAAGAATCTAAGTTCGATTGGGCTGCACATGAAAAATGAGAAAATATTGCATTACAAAAACTGAAAAAAAAAAAAACTAAGTTGCGCAGAGCTTCTCACCATTGCCCTAATGTAGATCCTCCATGGACATTAGTTTCTTTACATGAGGGATGCAAGCGTTGAAGTGTTCGACTATTGAAAAGACAATTCATTGATTATATTAATAAGCCCTTCTTTAATAGGTTTAACTTTTAGTTCAACTATAAATTATGTTAACTACTCATGTTTTAATGGGTAGGTTTGCATTATCGCATTTCTTATTCATATCCATTAATATGATATATTCAAGGCTAAAGGGTCAAATAGGTACATGAACTAACCTAAAGTGTTCAATTAGCCCCTTATATAGGAGTTTCTGCCCGGACGTCGCCAATTGGGGCGGTTCCCGGTGGAATTTTTTGATGAATTTTTTTGAGCATCTTCTTCATTAAGTCTAGTGTACCCAGACCATATTTCAGCTAAAAATTCAACCGGGAAGGCAGTCGAATGATTTTCTGAAAAATTAAACAGCGCAGTACATTTCGGAAAATAATTCGATTGCCTTCCCGGTTGAATTTTTAGCTGAAATTTGGTATGGGTAAACTAGACTTAATGAAGAAGATGCTCAAAAAATTTCATCAAACAATTCCACCGGGAACCGACCCAATTGGCGACGTCCGGGCAGAAACTCCTTTATAAGGGGTTAATTGAACACTTTAAGTTAGTTCATGTACCTATTTGACCCTTTAGCCTATATTCAATGATGGTTATACAACAATGAGAATTCCAGTTTTTTTTTATCAAACTGGATGATACATTAAATGTAATAGTCTGAAGCACATATCCTAACCTACTAGAGCACTATAATAAGAGGAGTTTCTAAAGTATATACTCCCTCCGTCCCAAAAAATTGTTCCCGATTTCCTTTTTGGGCCGTCCCAAAAAATTGTTCCACTTTCCACTTTTGGAAAGTTTTGTGTGGCTCACATTCATTTACTTTTTTCTTATACAACCACAATTATTCCCACTTTTTCACTTTATTCCCACTTTCTTAAATTCCGATCCAAGTCAATGCGGGAACAATTTTATGGGGCGGAGGGAGTATGTATCTTCAATGCTTTATGGTATTTTAAATAGATAACTTTCTTATTTACTTACCCACCAAAAGCTTATTACGTTGATTATTTAAATTAAACATACTAAACTTTTATTACTTTAGGTGAAGAAAAAGAATATCTAAATTGTGATTATGTAGACAAGTCAGACGTAGACCGAAAACAAGTATTCGAATCATTGACATTTGAGCTCCAAAATTCTTCAAGAACATAAGCTCTTCCAAATCGCAAGATAAGACTCAAGGATTGAACTTTAACAATGTTGTTAAGTAATACTCCGTATAATAATGGAAATAGATTAATAATAGAAATAGATTAATTTTCACACGGTTTCAAAATCATGTCAATGAGATTTACATTCCCTACATGTATATATTTTTCTCAGTCACCTTGGACACTTAGAGCCTGTTTAGTAACCCTTTATTTCGGCTTGTCAGTGAATTTTTCACCAAACACGTGACTTTTGATTTGTCCATTGAGTTGTGTAATAATAAGAAAAAGTGTACTTGGAGTTACTTTTCTGACTTTATTGGCTGAAGTTACTGTAGAGGATTATTTCAGCTATTTTTTTCAAATAATTTTATTTTTATTTTATTAATAAAATATATTTTAAATATAATTTTTTCATAAATCAGCAGAATCAGCTACTCCATCCACTTAAGCTAGAACTTCACAAATTTAAGCACGATCAACTAATCAGCCGATTTTAGTATCACCAAAGAAGCTCTTAAACTTATCAGAAGACAAATTCTTAAAATTGACTCATATTCTATGACAATCAACAAATCTCAAAGTTAGTTGCTAGGTAAAGATGGAATATATCTGATTAGACCCGTTTTTAGTCATCCACAGTTGTGTGTGGCATTGTCGAGAGTTCAAAATAAACATGAATCACAAATCTTAATACATTCATAAGGAGGGGGGCATTACACACCATTCCAAATGTTTTCCTTAAATTGTTTTTCAAAACCTGTACGAAGTGTAAGTTTAATGCTTCATTACATTTTATCGACAAATTCAATTCAAACGAATGATGTCAATTAGATTTCCAAGTATATATCCTATACTTTTTATATTTATTGTATTGACTTATGTTTTATATTTTATGTTATTTAGTTATTGTAGTTTTAATTTTTTAAATGTAATTTTTTTAAATTCTATATTTTTCATATTTAATTAGATGCATCAGATGTTCTTTCCCGTGCGTATGCACGGGTACTATACTAGTTAGAAGTAAAAAACGAAAAAGAGAAAAGAAAGATGGGTGGGGGGAGTACGTGCAAGTGTGCAACGTAATTGGAGAGAGCACGTGTCATCCACGTGTCATCCACCGAACATGTAGTAGGGTATTTTTGTTTCTTATGGAAAAAACGGTACCGTATTGGGGATCGGTATACCATGCGCATGGTATACCGATCCCACAGTATAATTTGCCGCAAATTATTATTTTCAATTTTTCTTTAATAATTTGTATTATAGTTTTAGTATTTATTATATATCCGTGTAGTGTGTACTTCCCTTATAATACCTTCGTTCTTAAATAGTTGCAACTTGTCTGACAAGATTACTTCACTAACGTATCATACCGGAAAAGTTTTCGTATCAGATACTCTAGGATACCCGTATCGCACGTTCTCGGGTCGTATATGCAATTTATAAAAAAGTTTCCAACTATTTTGGTAATTATTTTAAAATTTCAGATACTCGTATCCTGACAGATACACATATTATTTTTTTTATTATAAAAGAACACCCAAAATTTACATGATGAAATTCTTAAAAAAAACAAAAAAACTAAAGATCAATTTTTCCTTGCTTTAATCTCGCACAAAACTAAGTATATGGA